ACAGGATGTGAAAGTGTGTGCAAGGGAACAGGATGTTGTTGACGCGCTTTAGCGCAACAGTTCTCTGAAATGATAAGAACAACGGAAAGTTTCAAGCTGTTATGGAAGATTGCTTGCACGCTGTGAGTTGGGGGCGTCTCTAAACGCACCAACTGCCTTGCTATTGAACAAATATGGTATCGTGTAACTGTAACCACACCTGCTTTCTGTGCTGAATAAAAGCTGTGCCCGGGAAGGAGCACATTGGGAGATCACTCTGCTAGTACACGGACGTGTCCTGAGCAGTCTGATAGCTTGATGCGTATCCCCCGTGATCACGTATACTCATAACTACAGTGTCCTCTGAGTTATTGTAGGTACAGGAGTTAACCTTGCAAGGTGAATTAGTTCCAGCCTCTAGGTTGTTTGGTTTTTGGGTCTATGATCTGTTGGTCACCACGCTTAGAGCCTGGTGCAATTTCCTGACACTTGTAACTGTCCTCAACGTCTGCTATTGTTCCCTCTGGGAGTGAGATCCCTTCTGTGTGGACTACCTTGCCTCTCCGAGTCACCATCCTGCTACATTTCTCAAGTCCGAATGACATCCCAATGTTCTGGCTGTAGATCCTCGTGGTTTGGATCAGAGAGTCAATGTCTCTCTCGCTCTTGGCGTACAGCTTGATGTCATCCGTGTAGAGGAGGTGACTGATCTTTGCTCCGTTCCTGAGGCGGTTTCCTCCTCGCACAACCAGTGATAGTGATATGGAAATGATCAGACTCTGCTTAGATATAAAAAAGTTGATTTAATAGCTGCGCGCATGCATGGAATCTACAGACTGGGACCTTTTCAGAGCTGCCACAGACAGCTTGGATGAATATACGGACACTGTGACGTCATACATCCACTTCTGTGAGGATAGCATCATTCCAACAAGGACCAGGGTCATCTATAACAACGACAAACCCTGGTTCACTGCTAAACTCCGGCAGCTCAGGAAAGCAAAGGAGTCTGCTTTCAGGGAGGGGGACCGCAGCGGCTACAAAGCAGCTAAATATCAGTTCAGGAAAGAACTGAAAGCAGCCAAGTCCCGGCACAGAGAACGACTACAGGAGCAGTTTGGTAACAACGATACTGCTTCTGTCTGGAGGGGCCTACGGGAGATCACCAACTACAAACCCAAAGCCCCCCCCTGTGCTGATGACCACAAGCTAGCTGACGATCTGAACTTATTTTTCAGTCGCTTTGATGCTGCCCCTGACACCTCTCCCTCCCCCACCCCCCACTACTCTAACGACCCACCCATCAGCCCTGCCCCCAGCCTAACAATAGCCGCTAAAGAGATTAAACAACTCTTCCTGAGGCTGCACCCCCGCAAAGCTCCTGGCCCGGACCACGTGTCTCCGGCCACTCTGAGACACTGCGCCAGTGAGCTTACTCCTGTGTTCACGGACATTTTCAACACCTCTCTGCAGTCCTGCCATGTCCCGGCCTGCTTCAAATCCTCCATCATTGTCCCCGTCCCGAAGAAGCCCAGGATCACAGGACTCAATGACTACAGACCTGTAGCACTTACGTCTGTCGTCATGAAGTCATTTGAACGCCTGGTTCTCTCCCATCTCAAGTCCCTCACCTCCCCCCTCCTGGACCCCCTGCAGTTCGCCTACAGAGCCAACAGATCTGTAGACGACGCCATTAACCTGGCCCTCCACCACATCCTACAGCACCTGGACTCCCCGGGGACCTACGCCAGGGTCCTGTTCGTGGACTTCAGCTCTGCCTTCAACACAATCCTGCCATCCCTGCTCCAGGACAAGCTCTCCCAGCTCAACGTGCCCGATTCCACCTGCAGGTGGATCACTGACTTCCTGACGGACAGGAAGCAGCGAGTGCGTCTGGGGAAGAATGTCTCGGACTCTCGGATTATAAATACAGGAGCCCCACAGGGCTGTGTTCTTTCTCCCCTGCTCTTCTCCCTGTACACCAACCACTGCACCTCCAGCCACGACTCCGTGAAGCTGATCAAGTTCGCGGACGACACCACCCTCATTGGACTCATCTCCAACAACGATGAGTCCGCCTACAGGAGGGAGGTGGACCGGCTGGTGTCCTGGTGCAGTGGTAACAACCTGGAGCTGAACGCCCAGAAGACAGTGGAGATGATTGTGGACTTCAGGAAGAGCACTGTCCCCCCGCCCCCACCCTCCGTGATGGACTCCCCCATCACCTCTGTGGAGTCCTTCCGTTTCCTGGGCACCACCATCACCCAGGACCTCAAGTGGGAGCCGACCATCAGCTCCCTCATCAAGAAGGCCCAGCAGAGGATGTACTTCCTGCGGCAGCTCAGGAAAGCCAAGCTGCCTGCACAGATGTTGGTGCAGTTCTACACGGCCATCATCGAGTCCATCCTCACCTCCTCCATCACCGTGTGGTTCGCTGGAGCCACAGTCAGGGACAAACAGAGACTACAGCGCATTGTGCGCTCTGCAGAGGAAGTGATCGGCCGCAGCCTTCCATCGCTGCAGGACCTGTACGTCGCCCGAGCTCGAGGCCGGGCTGGTCGTATCACAGCCGACCCCTCTCACCCTGCACATGGACTATTCCAACCACTCCCCTCAGGCAGGAGGCTGCGGTCCATCAGGACTAGAACCTCCCGCCACAAGAACAGTTTCTTCCCCTCTGCTGTTGGACTCTTGAACACTTCTTAACCTGTCCCCCCGCCCTTTATAAAGTCACTTTACTGCCCATCATACGTCACTTTACTTCACTGTACTGCTGTCACCTTACATTGTGTGCACCATGTGCACTTGTATATTGTAAATAGTAACTGTAACTCTATTTTAAATTTAAATTTATTCTTTAGAAGTGTTTTTTATTCTTATTTTTATTATCTCTTTTTGACTGTTGCACTGAGCCAAAGCAATTTCCAAGTCTGTGACCTCCCGTTACTTACGTTGGCAATAAAAATGATTCTGATTCTGATTCTGATTCTGATTAATATATAAAACAGAATTAAGGCAAATTACAGGCAAGCTTCAGCCTGGGTCTCCTGCAAGAAGCAAAAACAGAAAGACCCAGAAGACATAAGAGACGCTGGTTTTGTACCAGAGGTAATATGATATGACCTAAACCAAAAACACATGTCAAATATAACCCATGATCTCTAGACTCATAAATAAAGAGCAAACCTGCTTCTTAATGGCTTGGTCAGCATTCTTCTTTTCCGGGCACCTAAGACTGGCCTTTCAAATGTAAACAAAGGTTTGCTCATAAGCAGATGTTTCTCAATGCAAAAACACCCCCAGCTTTCTCAATGCATTAATACATCTGAATATATGTGTAATTAAGATCAGATACTACAATAGCTAAAGATATAAAATAATTTCAGTCATATCAAACAGACCTACTGTTATAAACAAGTGTGGACTTACAACAGACTGTGGACATCACCCATGTGTTTGTCACAGGTTAAAAAGTGTCTGTTGAGGGGGTGTGATCAATAAAACAGGAAGAGGATAAAATGTAATAAAATATTTACAAAAGGTCCATTAAAATCATGATAAAACCCGTAGTCCGCGGGGCACCGTGTCCTCCCTGGACTTGGTTCCCTCCAGGCCCGGGACCGGGCTGCAGTCCCGCCAGCCCCTTGCAGACCACAGGTCGCCACCGGGCACCCGCGGGGAAGAGCCGGCACATCCCGGTTTTCGGTGGGGCTAGCCCGGGCGCGCACGCACCTCCACGCGCTATCAATGCGCGCCCCCTCACCGGTGCCGCTCTCCCCGCTGGCCTCAGTCCCCCGTGGTCTCTGGCTAGCGGTCCTCGTCCTTGGCCCGGTCCTCTCTCGTGCTCCCTCGTGCTCTGTCGTCTCCCTCGTGCTCTGTCCTCCCCCTGTGGTGCCCGCCCCCAATTTAAGATAGTCTTGATTATAAGCAGGTGTGGGTGATTAGGGGAAGTGTCCAAGGAACTGTGATTAAAATCCATGCAATAAAAATATAAAAACACACAAAACACACAAATAAAAGCAGTTAAAAGTCCTTGTTAAAAGTTCACTTTCCCACATTTACTTTTCAGTGTAAGAGAATAGGAGTCAGAGAGAGTCAGAACAAAGCCAAATTTATAGGCGACTTGTGAAACTTCTCGTTCCAAAGCATTTCCTCTCTTACCGGTGACAAAAGCGCTCAGAGGTTCAATCTCCGGATGCAGCTTGCACGTTACATTCTGTTGCACAACCAACTGACTTATGGAGAAACACCAGTTAATATACTGAATGACTAATAAAGAATCATGTTTACAATGTCTGTAATTAGCTTTTATGTCAGCATGTGTGAGTGGATAATAGAATACATCATTACTTCATTTCCTAATTTGAGTAGTCCATCTTAAATGAATGCATGAAGCATGAGCCTGAATGCTTTGCAAGACGACAAAGGTTTAGCAAGGGAAGTGTACGTTTTTGCACGTATCAGGTGGAGGTGAAGGCTCCCTGGTCGTGTCCATATTTCATGCTGCATGTGAAATGAGTAGTTTTTTGTTTATTCAATTTGTGTTTTGTGTAGCTTATAAACATCAGCACTTTACACAGACTCAGCATAAACAATTAGTTTTCTATTTTGTAAAGTGGCAAATTTCTACCACTACGACATATTTGGGTTGTGTGTAATGAGACCAATGACTGTACTTTGGTTCATTTTACTCCAGGCTTGCTTGGGGTGAGAGGATTCTTACTTTGGAACAAAAGAGACACAGGAAACACTTTATTATTCTGAAGTTATATATTATCTTGCAGAAAACTTTAGACTAATATTAGGTTAGTGTGAGTTTTAATAACTCAGTGTTTATTTGGTTTATAAATAAAAGATGACCAGGAAGAGTGAAATCTCGTTTATTTTACAAAGAATATAAAAATAAATAATAATGGTTGCATTTTACAGGTTTGAATATCAAACATATCTTAAGAATTCTCATCTACAAACTTTTTGCCAGGTTTAAGTTAGTTTGCATCATTATAAATAAATGACTGCAGTCACTCTGGCGACTTTTGTTTCATTTTGTGCCGCCTCTTAAACTCCTGAAAGAGACCATGTGACTCAGGGCCGGATGATGATTGCGCCTGTGGCAAATGGCCCAACTCCTCCCTCCACAATCCTGCAAAGCATCAATACATCCGATTAATGCAGTGGTCTCCAACCATTTTCAATTGTAGAGCTACTTTCATAAAACAGAAATGAGAAGAGCTACTCCTTTGGCAGTTGTAATAAAATTGTAGTCTATAATAACTACAGCAAATCATGACACATGCACAATACACCATTATACTGTGGAGTATTGTCGTGGAAGGTTTGAAATGCTTGAATTAGGTGTATTTGTTTTCAGTTTATGATTTTCTAGAATGTCAAGCTGACCCAGAAACTATTTGGAAAACAGTTCTTGTACTAGACATCAGGGAACATTTGGTTTCCATTAGTTGTCTAGCCGCCGCCAAGAAGTCCATATATGGAAAGTGGCCGAGAGGTTATAACAGTGGAATCAGACAGTCGTGCATCTACATGAGATGGTTCGTTTTCTTCATGTATTGCTGATCTTGAGTTAGTAAACGCACTCTATAAACTTTAATCTTGAGTCCTGGGAGAGTAATTATTGTTCTCAAGTTTGGCTACTACAGCATCCACATTAATCAAAACATTTGTAGTTAAAATAGGTATGTCATTACTCAAAAGTGAATCATACAGAATCTTTTGTTAATTACTTGAATGCTTTGGGGAGCAACCTTAAAGGAATAGGCCACCGTTTTCACATACTGACATATGTTCTTACCTTACCTTAGACTAGTTGATATGAACCTGTCTGGTCTTTGTCCGTGCGCTCTGTCATGCAAACGGAGCACAAATGCAGCCTCTTCCACAGATTGTCTAGTTCCAAATCAGCTCCCGTTAGAAGCTACCAAACTCTTCCACGTGTTCCCTATTTAAATACAGTTACGTGACGTGTTACACTACAAAGTATAGTAACACAGAAATGTATATAATACGAGGAGCGCTACGTCCGCGCACTAACTCCTAAAGTCACGCTGCTTCTATTGACGGAAGTGAGCAGGAGAGAAGTCTTTGGGAGTTAGTGCGCGGACGTAGCGCACTCCAGTATTATTACGCCTCACAATATAGTACCCCTTTTTATCCGCTGAGAAAATCGACATGTTACATTTCTGCGTTACTATACTTTGTAGTGTAGCACGTCACGTAACTGTATTTGAATAGGGAACACGTGGAAGAGTTTGGTAGCTTCTAACAGGAGCTGATTTGGAACTATACAATCTGTGGAAGAGGCTGAATTTGTGCTCCGTTTGCATGACAGAGCGCACGGACAAAGACCAGACAGGTACATATCAACTAGTCTAAGGTAAGGTAAGAACATATGTCAGTATGTAAAAACGGTGGCCTATTCCTTTAAAGAAGGTGGTGAGCTACTGGTACCTCCTGAGCAACAGGCTGGTCGTTTTATTACCCATTTAAAGAAAATATTAAGTTTTTTTAAAGCAAATCCCTCCGGCAAAGGTTCTCATTTGCTCATAGGTCAATTTAAGTAGTCACTCCTCTTACCTCGTTTCTTCAAAGCAGGGGTTTGTTCCTCATTTTTATCAATGACTGTGTTCCCATCTGAAAGTGAAAAAATATTTAATATTCCCCTTTTTTATCTAATAATGTACGACTTCCATGATCAGCAGTACCTGCAGCTGAATCCGTTCTGGAGTCTTCGTTCTTGGACACCTCCTTGAAGTTGAAATCGGACAATACATTAAATGTCAGAGCGCCTTCTTGTGGAGACTTCACTTCAGCAACATTCTGCGTCTTGCGCAAATTCTGCGTTCTCCCAACACAGGCCGCAGTCTTTTTATGAGACACAGGATTATTAGAGTCGTGGAGTTTTCTTTTTGAGTACATACGTTTGGCGTCTGGTTTGTGAAATCTTGGCACAGGAATGGCACCAACCATGGAAAACTTTTTGTTTTTTTTCAGAATCTTAATTGTGCTATGTGGAAAGCTTTTCCTCCAATTTTCATGAATACGTTTTCTCACAGAGACGTTGCTAGACAACTCTGCCCCTTTGTCACTTGTCGATAGAGGATCCATTTTTACATAAATCCGTTCAGGAGGCAATGTCTCGTCAAATATACAAACATTGCGTCGCCTGGTGCGAGTAGATGCCATTTGTCCCGTGTTTGAACCAAATATTGCCAATTCAACATTTTCTTTGGGAGCAGTGTTTTTGCATTTTGAAGAGCTCGCAAGAGTACTTTGAAATTCCTGAGCCTTCGTCTCATTTAGGATCACAGAGGGGCCCCACTTCCCTGGAGCTTCAGCAATGGGGTTTTCCTTCGATTTGCGACCTTCTTCCTGCTCCTGCATTTCACAACTAGTTTCACTAACAGTTGCATCAGCCATATTTAATAAGTGTTTCAACGTTTCTAGAGCATTTTGACCACTGCTTATTACATGGGGGCCATCTGTAGATTGAGACATTTGATTTTTTTCCAGCACTTGAAGTTCATCGTCACTTTCACTTAAAACAATAATGGAGTTAGGACTGTTGCCTTCTTGAATGTCCTCCATTGCTGTGGGACTACAGGGATTCTCTTCTGTCAAGTCAAAAATGGAACTACGCAAACTATTGTCAGCTGATTGCTCTTCGTTACACTTGCATTTACCTTCTGAAGAAAAACCAAAAACTTTCTCCTTCCATTTGTCCATACAGCAGACAATTTCTATGGAGTTTGCATTACATGTTTGCTTCTTGGCATCATCGTGGTCAGTTGGCAAAGTTTCTTCTGCCTGGAAATGTTCCACCTGTGGTTCTGCGTCACAGTCCTCTTGGTCAAAGATAACTTTTGCTTTTTCTGGGGGTAAAATTTCGATTTGGAATGAGTAGCTCGAGTCACTTGACAACATCTCTGTGTCACACTCGTTTTCGTCACAATCTTTAGTCTTTGAATCTAGTGACTCATTGCAGATTTCTTCAAGAGTATCATTGCCTTCATTTTCCATGGGTTCTACTGACTTTTCAAACTGAAGCCCAGTTAGAGACTTGTCATTTTGTCTCTTCTGGGGATCTGAATCTTTCCAGTCTCCAAGCCTCTGGGCGCATGTGAAAAAATATGGCAAGCCAAACTCATTATCGATGTCGTCAAGCTGGGGGTTCGTGTTCAGCCATGAGGATGTGAATGGGATTTTCTCCACTTTTTCCCCATGCTGAAGTACATGGTATCGATCCTCATCAATTTTACTTTTTGTATGTGAAAGAACAACCGCATTAGCACCAGTTGAGCGGCACAAATCCTTAAATTCCCGCAGTTTATTAAATAAATCACCTTTTTTTGCAGTAGCCACCATTGTGCGTATGTTACCATTCCAAAATTTGACTACCAATTGCTCTACTGTAGATTGATCAGATATAGGATCAAGCACCTTTTTGGATTTCTTATATTCTTTCTCCATCTCAACAATCTTGTCGAGTAACATCTGGAAAGTCCATTCAGTGGCTGATATTGAGGAGGACGTTTCTGCAACTGATTGCTGCTCTTTTGGAGTCTTCCCATTCCCAGGCATTTTGTTTTGCAAGGTTTTTGGGATGGTTCCTTTCACCAATTTAGAAAAGCTCAGAGGAGCATGGGAAACATTAGGTACCTTTTCAACCATAGTCAACATTTTTTTCAGAGTTGAGCATGATGCTCCGAGATCAACCTTTTCCGTCTCTTTCATGTGCGACTCTGTGATATGCTGTTGTGAGTTTTTCTTTTGAGGATTACCGCTTAACAAACGCCGTTTAATCATTTTGGAGAGATTGTCTTCCATGGAATTGTCTTGCAACAACGGCAAAACAACAGCAACAGCACGCTGGGTACGACTTGGTGAAGTCAGAGTAGCACCATTGGAAGCTTTAACAGTCTCATTCTTTTCAAATAAGTCTTCGTTCATTTTTTGATAGAACAATTGAACAAGGTTGGGAGGTGGATTTACAACAGGTTTTGTTGTAGACATATTTGCTTGAGTCTGTGAATGAGCAGGTACTGGAGTGCTTTCTGGCCAACTAGACGAAGGAGAAGGTTGCCCCACTGAAGCAGCAATATTCCCTTGGACCCCACTGTTTACTTGGCCATTTGCTTGCAGTGTGTGCCCCTGAATTTTATAAGCCTTATTATGCCCAGCCTGGAGAGTACTTCTGTGACCGCTGCCATTTTGGACCTCCTCCAGTGTACATCCAATAACTGTCTGAGGTAAAACGTAGTTGGTCTGGTCTGGTTGGTTGCTCCAAGAAGTAGATGTGACAGGCGAAACATTGTTAACTTGTGAACTGGATACATGATGAGGGTCACTCGTTCCCTTTGAAACTAGTGCTTCATAATAGGAAGGTAAAGTTCCAGTCTGCTGGGAAGACTGGTGGCACAGAAGGCTCTGAATTAAAGTCAGCTGTTGTCTGTTGTATACAGCGTGCGTTGTGGACGGAGATGTAGGTTTTGTCAAAGGTGCCGGAACATTCTCAGTCTGTGACTTCACATTTACATGCGTCAAACCCTGATGCGTAGATTGCGGTAAAAAATGTCCCATATCACTGTTTGGCACAGACACAGATTGTGGATTCTGGGACATTACCATATTTTGCAAAATGTGAGACATTGAAGTATTCTGCAGATTGTGAGACATTGAAGTGTTCTGGGGACATCTCACTTGCAGCTCCTGAGCCGGAATTACCGTGACATCCGGTGGGTAGGCGAGGGTTGGACTCTGCGTGGAGTTTGGATGATAACCCTGGTGAAAGTTTGTGGCGTTTTCTCTTTGTGCCGACGTCTGTTGAATGGCAAAGTGGCCCACCAGTGATCCACCGTTTGAGATGATGTAAAGTCTGTTGCTCCCATTATTGTTGTGTGTGTTGGGATTGAAATGTGGACGATGTGTGGGCTGTGCAACCAGTTGTCCATTGGCCCATGTGGATGCTTGCATTATGTCTGCCCAAAAGACTGCCAAAAAACACCTGAAATTGGAGAGGAAAAAAAATTACACACTGAAGACATCTCTCATTCACAAAATTACAACCTTTAACAAAATTAAAACCTTTAACCAATACACCATCGATTAAGAAAATAAGGAATAATTTTGAAACAAGCCTACAAATACTCCACTCCACCAAGGCACTTCAGCAGTTCAAGTTAAAAGGCCTTTATTTGAACCTTGTCCTTATAGGACAATTCAAAATCGCATCAATCATCAGCCACTTGAACCCCTGGAGTTTGTACTTGACATGTTTAGAATCTATGTAGGGGAACCACCACAGCAGTGGCAAAAGAGGTCCCTTTGTTCTAAAACGATAGAAGAACAGATATGCCGCTCAGAGGGGGCTGTTTCACAGAAAAAAGATGAGAATTCTCTGGCTGCAATTACCTCATCACTTCCTAGATGGAGGAAGGGTGAACTCATGCTATGTGTGCTTTGAGTGTTACACAGAGGAGAATTCTACTCCTACATTTGTCCAAATGAAGCTCAGGTTTCAGTTTCCATTTACGCAGCCACAGTTAAATGCAGAATGCTGTTGATGCATTCTTTCACGTCTTTGCGGCGCCTGAGGTGGATGTTGTTGAGGAAGTGATTATACTAGTGGTGTAAAGTTCCACTGCCCACTACTGGCCGGGCGCTAAAACTACATGGTTTTGCGTCAATGTGCAGACACTGCACTTCGAATAAGAAGCCTGGCCGTTTTAGCCAATTGCTTTTCAGCGTCTTATCTAAACAGGGCCTCAAGGCATGCATTTTCCTACATTAGGTGACACAGCTCCATTTTTCCACGCTTCCCCAGGACAATGAGCTTCTCTGTATTCTTTAAACAATAGAAACACAACTGCCTCCATCATAACGCTTCATTAGCCTTACAGTCCAATCAAAACTTAGCCAATTCGATCTAATAAGATGAATGAGGTTTTCACTGCAAAGTCTAGGTGGTCTCTGCTCAAAATATGAAACCATTTTCTTTTCTTATAAATAACAATTTTCATTAAACTGAAAAGGATTCCATCCAGTTCAGGCCAAACTATAGCAGCCAGAAATAACAGAAAAACAAAGTATAAACAAATAATCTATTATTCCCTTGTCTTATGTTGCGTTGTGTGCTCCTCATTCATAATGTTGTGTAACTTTTGATGCACCACTGAAATGTTCCCACTGTGGGACAAATAAATCTCTTAGATCAATCAAAAACAAATTCAATATATCAGACCATGTGAGTAACAGGAAGTCAGACTAGGAAACTGCTTTGGCTATAAACAAATAAAGTTAATACAACGAGGTACAGCATGACAATATTGGTTGAGCTGAAGTTGGCTGGGTGACGCTGTGAAAGTGCATCAATGCCTAGTTTGTGTTAACAAGGCATTGGGCCACATTAAATTAAAGTGGACCACAATTGGCTCGCGGGCCTTAGTTTGGACGCCCTTGTCTTAGGACCGTATAAGGCGTAGCGGTGATCCATAGCTCCAGAATCAGTGCGCCCCCAAACTTCCAACCACATTCTTTCCAAAGACCCTCGCCATTTAACTTCCCTAACTAAAGTAATATATAAAAGGAATAATTAGGGGATTTTAATACAGGTGTAGTTTAGACAGTGGTAAACAGCTCCATGCAACTGTGAGTGGACCATTCTGTTGTAAAAAGAGTAAATGACCTGGTGTTGAAACGAAGAGCAGAACATCCACTTTGCAGACTTTAGACTAGAGACTAAAGATTATACATTTACTACACAACGTAACGAGAATAGTAGATAAGATAGTATTATAGTTTTCCCCCACGCCGCTACAAGAGCTGGACGGTTCCAGGAGTTTGGTGAGAAAACTTTTATCTGCGCAACGAACAGAAAAAAGATAATTTACGAGTAACGTACCTTTTGTTTGTTTGAATCTAATCCAATTTGTAACACGTGTGCATCTGAAGGAGAGAAATATTAAATCCAGTCGACGTTAACTTTGGCACCGCACCGCATTCTACATGTTCTCATGTGAGCTCTGGTGTGAGAGAGGAGGGGCATATGAACACACTTTGAGACCTCTCCTTGGGTTGGCTCCTCCAATCAAATCAAAGCTCTAACCTACATCCAGGATTCAATTGAACAGATGCAATGAACGGAAGGAAGAGAGCCACTCTCACTGCCCAATATAGCGACTAATATTTCTTTCAAATATGGAAAAGATAACACGTTAAGGAAGCGCTATAAGAACATCTGGATGCAACTTTATGAATTACACCAGTGTCTCCCAAAGTGGGGTCCGCGGCCCCCTGGTGGGCCGCGAGGGTACTGCAGGGGGCCGCGGGAGGTCATAAAAAAAATAAAAAAAATAATATAATTATTTAATGTTAAATTTATAATGTTTTGTTTGTAATATTAAAATATTTGTGTTCATTATTTGACTTGAATAATCCACTGTAATCATTTTTGTATTACAATGTTTGTAGCAGAGGCTATTTCCCCAAAATAAAATAACCAGAAGAGCCTATTCTTAATGTTGTCTTCTTGGTTATTATTTTGGGGGGCCACGCAGACCCGTCAGATTTTTAAGGGGGCCTCGGTGTTACTGAGTTTGGGAATGGCTGAATTACACAATCCCCGCTTTGACAACAGCAGTAGTCAGAGCATTCCATTTTCAAGGAGCACAATGAGAAAGCAGCTTCTAAAATGTTTGCACCTCCGCGAACGGTAATCTCTCTCTAAGTTCGGGTCAAAAAACCAGATATATGTATAATAAGATAAAAAACTATATAAATATGTGTGTTATTGTATACATATGTATGGTTATGTCTGTGAGACGTTCAGGTGTTTTTTCTTTGGTTGTGGAAGTTAAGTAACCGTGTGTTTTACCACAATTCACTTCTGGAGTGGCAGACCTTGAGTGGAAACATCTGGATGAGGCCACAGTGAAAACATACCTTCAACTATTTATTGTTTTACTTGAGCCCTGGGTCAGTTAGATCTGTAAGGTTGGCTGATTCCTAATAGATCCTAATTTAGTTTTTTTTTCTTCTATATATATATTTTTTAGACTCAAATGTAATTGGCCCTTTTTTAAGAATACAAAAAAGACATCAGAGAAGAGCTCCTTTTACAGTTAGTCATAGTCTGGATGATGGTGTTCTCAGACACCTCCAGACGCTCCTCAAAGCAAAAGGTTTTGAAGGAATGTTCACAAACAGTTCACTGGTCCTGTGCCACTGTGAGTCTGTGGAGGGACCTGCGACAGTACTTGGTCCACAGAGGAGCTGTGTACAGTGAAGTGCAGTATGCTCAAAACAGAACATTTAACTTGGTACCAACACATGCTGAACCTCCTCACCAGCGTGTTTGTCTGGGCTTAAAGTTTACAGCACTGTCTTTTAATGTCTCTGTCATCACGCCAGTCGTCTGAAGTGTCCCAGATACTTTGGAGAGAGCAAGAGGCTGACCTCAGAGCTGAAAGTCAGGGAAGATCAAAGGTTTATCTTCTCTGCTCTTCACTATAATCATGTTGTTCTTTGTTGGATTGTATTTGACGTCACAGTTCACACCTGAGCACACTTGTAGCCCCCATGTCTACACTGTGGCTGAGTTTACACTGAGACAATGTGGCAGTAAAACGGTATAGTTGGATGTCGGTTGCTACCAACCGTTCATACGAAGACTGTGTTCCAGGGGGGTGAAAACGTAATCAGAATCAGAATCATTTTTATTGCCACGTAAGTAACAGGAGGTCACAGACTAGGAAATTGCTTTGGCTCAGTGCAACAGTCAAAAAGAGATAATAAAAATAAGAATAAAAAACACTTCTAAAGAATAAATTTAAATTTAAAATAGAGTTACAGTTACTATTTACAATATACAAGTGCACATGGTGCACACAATGTAAGGTGACAGCAGTACAGTGAAGTAAAGTGACGTATGATGGGCAGAAAAGTGACTTTATAAAGGGCGGGGGGACAGGTCAAGAAGTGTTCAAGAGTCCAACAGCAGAGGGGAAGAAACTGTTCTTGTGGCGGGAGGTTCTAGTCCTGATGGACCGCAGCCTCCTGCCTGAGGGGAGTGGTTGGAATAGTCCATGTGCAGGGTGAGAGGGGTCGGCTGTGATACGACCAGCCCGGCCTCGAGCTCGGGCGACGTACAGGTCCTGCAGCGATGGAAGGCTGCGGCCGATCACTTCCTCTGCAGAGCGCACAATGCGCTGTAGTCTCTGTTTGTCCCTGACTGTGGCTCCAGCGAACCACACGGTGACGGAGGAGGTGAGGATGGACTCGATGATGGCCGTGTAGAACTGCACCAACATCTGTGCAGGCAGCTTGGCTTTCCTGAGCTGCCGCAAGAAGTACATCCTCTGCTGGGCCTTCTTGATGAGGGAGCTGATGGTCGGCTCCCACTTGAGGTCCTGGGTGATGGTGGTGCCCAGGAAACGGAAGGACTCCACAGAGGTGATGGGGGAGTCCATCACGGAGGGTGGGGGTGGGGGGACAGTGCTGTTCCTGAAGTCCACAATCATCTCCACTGTCTTCTGGGCGTTCAGCTCCAGGTTGTTACCACTGCACCAGGACACCAGCCGGTCCACCTCGCTCCTGTAGGCGGACTCATCGTTGTTGGAGATGAGTCCAATGAGGGTGGTGTCGTCCGCGAACTTGATCAGCTTCACGGAGTCGTGGCTGGAGGTGCAGTGGTTGGTGTACAGGGAGAAGAGCAGGGGAGAAAGAACACAGCCCTGTGGGGCTCCTGTATTTATAATCCGAGAGTCCGAGACATTCTTCCCCAGACGCACTCGCTGCTTCCTGTCCGTCAGGAAGTCAGTGATCCACCTGCAGGTGGAATCGGGCACGTTGAGCTGGGAGAACTTGTCCTGGAGCAGGGATGGCAGGATTGTGTTGAAGGCAGAGCTGAAGTCCACGAACAGGACCCTGGCGTAGGTCCCCGGGGAGTCCAGGTGCTGTAGGATGTGGTGGAGGGCCAGGTTAATGGCGTCGTCTACAGATCTGTTGGCTCTGTAGGCGAACTGCAGGGGGTCCAGGAGGGGGGAGGTGAGGGACTTGAGATGGGAGAGAACCAGGTGTTCAAATGACTTCATGACGACAGACGTAAGTGCTACAGGTCTGTAGTCATTGAGTCCTGTGATCCTGGGCTTCTTCGGGACGGGGACAATGATGGAGGATTTGAAGCAGGCCGGGACATGGCAGGACTGCAGAGAGGTGTTGAAAATGTCCGTGAACACAGGAGTAAGCTCACTGGCGCAGTGTCTCAGAGTGGCCGGAGACACGTGGTCCGGGCCAGGAGCTTTGCGGGGGTGCAGCCTCAGGAAGAGTTGTTTAATCTCTTTAGCGGCTATTGTTAGGCTGGGGGCAGGGCTGATGGGTGGGTCGTTAGAGTAGTGGGGGGTGGGGGAGGGAGAGGTGTCAGGGGCAGCATCAAAGCGACTGAAAAATAAGTTCAGATTGTCAGCTAGCTTGTGGTCGTCAGCACAGGGGGGGGCTTTGGGTTTGTAGTTGGTGATCTCCCGTAGGCCCCTCCAGACAGAAGCAGTATCGTTGTTACCAAACTGCTCCTGTAGTCGTTCTCTGTGCCGGGACTTGGCTGCTTTCAGTTCTCTCCTGAACTGATATTTAGCTGCTTTGTAGCCGCTGCGGTCCCCCTCCCTGAAAGCAGACTCCTTTGCTTTCCTGAGCTGCCGGAGTTTAGCAGTGAACCAGGGTTTGTCGTTGTTATAGATGACCCTGGTCCTTGTTGGAATGATGCTATCCTCACAGAAGTGAATGTATGACGTCACAGTGTCCGTATATTCATCCAAACTATCTGTGGCAGCTCTGAAAAGGTCCCAGTCTGTAGATTCCATGCATGCGCGCAGCTCTTCCACAGCTTCATCAGACCACACTTTGGAGCTCCTCATTGCAGGTTTCGAGAGCTTTAGTCTCTGTCTGTAAGCAGGAACCAGATGTATCATGGAGTGATCTGAGAAGCCGAGTGCTGGCTTGGGAACAGCGCGAAAAGCTCCGCGCACGGTGGTGTAACAGTGATCCAGAGTGTTCTCCTCTCTGGTCGGGCATTTGATAAACTGTCTGTATTTGGGTAATTCCTGGCTCAAGTTTCCCTTATTAAAATCCCCCAGGATAATAATCAGAGAGTCCGGGTATAAGCGTTCCATACACAGTACTTGCTCTGCGTCCGCGCTGAGCCTCGCGCGCGTCCGCGCATGGCGGTATGTAAACAGAGGCAAGAATGAATGAAACAATTTCGCGCGGGGAGTAATATGGTTTACAATGAATGAAAAGATATTCCAGAGCAGGAGAGCAGTGCTTGGAGATCACTGTCACATCGTTACACCAGTTTGTATTGACGTAGAAACACAGCCCTCCGCCTCTGCTCTTCCCTGAGAGCGCACAATGGCGATCCACGCGGAACAGCCCAAAGCCCTGCAGCTCCAGAGCGCAGTCCAGGATCCGCTCATTTAGCCAGGTCTCAGTGAAGCAGAGGACACAGGATGTGGCGAAGTCCTTGTTTCTTCTCATGAGCAGGCTGAGTTCGTCCATCTTATTGCCCAGTGAGCGTACGTTGGAGAGAAAAATGCCGGGGAGAGCCGTGCGCGCTCCTCTCCTCCTAAGACGCTTGCCTGGCCTGCCAAACGATATGCTTTTTCAAAGACATATAGTCTGGGAACGAGCTTGATCTCAGCGAATTCCCGGTGGGCGTGGTTGACAGACTGCATCAACCAATTAGATGCACACAGGATATGACGCAGCAACTAGCGGCACCCAAGCCGTTTCAGTAAACACAAAACAAGGGATGGCGGCATGTCAGCTAGTGCAAATGTAAACGACTGCTGTCGATTTTGTAACAAAAACTTAAAGATACGAGGAGTTATTAGCAACTCAAAGGTGAAAGGAAGTCCCGCCTCTCGGAGCGTGATTGGACCGATGTGGGTAAAATCGTGAAATGATAGGCTAGGAAGAGGTGTCCAGACGGTTCTTCTTTTGAACAGAAAGGAGGAGTGTCTGGCAGGCCAGGCAACTAAGACGCATGAGCAGGCCTCCGCGCTTTCCCCTTTTACGGGCCCACACTTTTTTGGCTAGAACATGAACTAAATCAGCCGCAGATGCCAAGAAAACAGGCAATAGGTCCATGGGAACGGTGGGTCGGATGTTCATAAGTTCCTCACGGGTGTAGGAACAGCCAGATGCGCAGTTAAAAAGTAAAAACAAAAGAAAAAGAGAGCAGCAAAGAGCAGTAAAGAGCCATGTCGACCGTACGAGGCGCCATCTTTGAAGCGAGGCGTTCAAATCCAGCCTGCAGAGTGGGACAACTCAGAAACGCTGCACAGCGGGGGCTCTTTCACACCCGCGAGAGGGGAAAAGGTGTGAAATCCCCCTCTGCTCTGACCCCTGACTCCGCGCTGCTCCCCGCACGTAAATTTGGACATGCGCAGTAGCGGAGAACAAACGTCAACAAAAATGGCGCCGCCCACACAGACTAGCTATGTGGGCTTCCAGCGCGGCCCAGAGGATAATTCTACTCCTTCGTTCGTCCAAACGAGACCACGCGAAGCTTTAGGTTCAGTTTCCATGTTCACAGCTGCTGTTAAAAGGCAGAATGATGCTGGTGCATTCTGAGTGTCTGGCACAGGAAGTGAGTATACTGCCGAGAGGGGGGCTGGGCACGGGGCTGGGGGTCGTGTGAGTGTTGTAAAGTTTCTCTGCCCACTACTGGCCGGGCGCTAGAACTACATCGTTTTTCAACCTCATGTGAACGCAGAGAAATTTGCATTAGGAGCCTGGTCGTTTCTGTTAATAGCTTGGAAACGTCTGCGCAGCGTCTCTGTATAAACAGGGCCAGAGTGGGACAACTCAGAAACGCTGCACAGCGGGAGCTCTCTTTCACACCCGCGAGAGGGGAAAAGGTG